ATGTGAGAAAGATTAAGGAGTAATGATAAGTAAGAATCTTAAGCCAAGTAAACAATGTGTAAACTATATCTTGCACTTGTGAGACCTCACTTGGATTACACAGTTCAATTCTGGTCACCATATTACAGAATGGATATAGAATCCCTAGAAAGAATTCAGAGGAGAATGACAAGAGTAATCCCAGGTATTAGGAACCTTGAGTACAGAGACGGGTTAAAGCATCTTAATTTGCACTTCTTCTAGAGACGTAGAGTGAGGGGTGATATGATAGAGGTGTATAAATGGAAGTCAGGGCTAAACAAAGGGGACATTACAAAGGTACTCAAACTATCCAACCAGGAGCGAACTCGTAACAATGGTTTTAAATTAGACAAATTTAGATTTAGGCACGAAATAGGTAAACACTGGTTTGGAAACAGAGTAGTGGATGAATGGAACACGTTACCAAATATCATCATTAACTCGAATACGCTGGATAGCTTCAAACTTAGGCTGGATGGATATATGAGCAATAGGGGTTGTGTGTAAATGGGACTGCCCAGTATGGGCCAATATGCCCGCTGCAGTTTCCTCAATTCTTATGTCCTTGTGTGTGTGTGTGTGTGTGTGTGTGTGTGTGTGGATGTTCACTTTGTGGAAACCAGAATTCCATAGTCGTCACATATGCGGGATATTAACAGTTTAGGGCATCTTTTGACCACGCCATCCACACTACTGCCACCCTCACACCGTGAACAATTAATTTATAATTTATTAATTTATCAGTTCAACACTTATCAGCTTACTGTCCTTTCTCCCGATTGGTATACTCTTTGCTTCTTTAATATGAACTTTATTGTAAAGAGAGAAATTCTAAGATACAGTGAAAATTTATAATAATAGGATTGTAAAGCGAGGAAAGTTTGTTATATGTTATATGTAGTGATGATGGATGATGTTATATGTAGTGATGATGGATGATGTTATATGTAGTGATGATGGGTGGTGTTATATGTAGTGATGATGGATGTTGTTGTATGTAGTGATGATGGATGGTGTTATATGTAGTGATGATGGGTGGTGTTATATGTAGTGATGATGGATGATGTTATATGTAGTGATGATGGATGATGTTATATGTCGTGATGATGGATGTTGTTGTATGTAGTGATGATGGATGGTGTTATATGTAGTGATGATGGATGGTGTTATATGTAGTGATGATGGATGGTGTTATATGTAGTGATGATGGATGTTGTTGTATGTAGTGATGATGGATGGTGTTATATGTAGTGATGATGGATGATGTTATATGTCGTGATGATGGATGATATTATATGTAGTGATGATGGCGGTGAAATGGCATTTAGCTGCCCCAAATTAGTCTGCTCTCAGCCCTGAAGATGTGAAATTGCACGAAGCGCTTGGGAACTTCGTGTTTTCTTGTTTCCTTGTGGTTATCAGCATATAATGTACAGTACTTGGATCACGCCAATCTACAGTGATTTACTTGATGGATGATGTTATATGTAGTGATGATGGATAGTGTTATATGTAGTGATGATGGGTGGTATTATATGTAGTGATGATGGATGATGTTGTATGTAGTGATGATGAATGGTGTTATATGTAGTGATGATGGATGATGCTATATGTATTGATGATGGGTGGTGTTATATGTAGTGATGATGGATGATGTTATATGTAGTGATGATGGATGTTGTTGTATGTAGTGATGATGGATGGTATTATATGTAGTGATGATGGATGGTGTTATATGTAGTGATGATGGGTGGTGTTATATGTAGTGATGATGAATGGTGTTATATGTAGTGATGATGGATGTTGTTATCTGTAGTGATGATGGGTGGTGTTATATGTCGTGATGATGGATGGTGTTATATGTAGTGATGATGGATGGTGTTATATGTAGTGATGATGGATGATGTTATATGTAGTGATGATGGATGGTGTTATATGTAGTGATGATGGATGGTGTTATATGTAGTGATGGATAGTGTTATATGTAGTGATGAGGGATGATGTTACATGCAGTGATGATGGATGGTCTTATATGTATTGATGATGGATGGTCTTATATGTAGTGATGATGGATGATGTTATATGTATTGATGATGGGTGGTGTTATATGTAGTGATGATGGATGATGTTATATGTAGTGATGATGGATGTTGTTGTATGTAGTGATGATGGATGGTATTATATGTAGTGATGATGGATAGTGTTATATGTAGTGATGATGGGTGGTGTTATATGTAGTGATGATGAATGGTGTTATATGTAGTGATGATGGATGTTGTTATCTGTAGTGATGATGGGTGGTGTTATATGTCGTGATGATGGATGGTGTTATATGTAGTGATGATGGATGGTGTTATATGTAGTGATGATGGATGATGTTGTATGTAGTGATGATGAATGGTGTTATATGTAGTGATGATGGATGATGCTATATGTATTGATGATGGGTGGTGTTATATGTAGTGATGATGGATGATGTTATATGTAGTGATGATGGATGTTGTTGTATGTAGTGATGATGGATGGTATTATATATAGTGATGATGGATGATGCTATATGTAGTGATGATGGGTGGTGTTATATGTAGTGATGATTAGACAATAAAATAATAACATTTTAATGCTAAAAAAAATAATTTGCTGTACTGTTGTAGTGGAACTTACATACACCGTTAATGAACTATTGATGGAAGAAGTTTTGGGGACTGAACAGTGAGACAATGTGGAGCCTCCCAGAGGATGACGTCCTACCGTGGACTAGCGAATGAGCCGCCCTGACCAAACTTGGCATGGATAGCAAGTGTCATGTGGGGATCTCAAAAAAACCCCAACCAACCCGATCCGACACACCCAACCCGACCCAACCCGTTGAACCACACAGAGGTTGAAAGGGATGTAGAAATGTTGTAAAGTCCTCAACTGAGCTCACTAACATGGTCTACCCAAACATTATCCACCACTACAAGGATCACAAGTGGCTGCGTGAACGCGCAATTCTGGCACCAAAGAATGAAACAGTGGCTGAAATCAACATGACTCTATTCAGACAGCTTCCTGGCAGTGAGACCTCATTCAAATCTGTTGATACAGTAATCGACCAGGACCGAGCAGTCCAGTACCATGCAGAATTCCTTAATTCTTTCAAGCCCGCTGGAATGCCTCCTCACCACCTCACTCTCAAGATTGGCACTCCTATAATGCTCTGAAGAAATCTTGAACCTAGCGAAAGAGCCACCCGGAGGGCGGCGAGCGAAAGAGCCGCCTGGAGGGTGGCGATTCCGCTAATATATATATATATATATATATATATATATATATATATATATATATATATATATATATATATATATATATATATATATATATATATATATTTCATTAGCCCAATAAACACGCGGACTTCTACATACAATCAACATCTCAACCCGCCAGGATTCGAACCCACTGCCCACGAGCCCATGACTGTGACAAGGGAACGCTAACCTCTGGACCACCAGGATACTAAAAGCAGTCCTAGACTCTGTTATATTTCACACAAAGCCTGTTCAACGAGCTTATGGCGCCGTGAACCTCTAATGGGGACTACCCGTATCACATAGGTGGTCAGAGTAACGTTTTACCAAATCCGGCTTCGAAACACGAGGATCCATATATATTTCATTAACCCAATAAACACGCGGACTTCTACATACAATCAACACCTGAACCTGCCAGGATTCGAACCCACGGCCCACGAGCCCATGACTGTGACCGGGGAAAAAATAATGATAAATTTGATCTGTTTCATTCAAGGCGTCGTTAAGTACAGTATCATAAACTAGGGTGCTCGTAAGGCTTATACAGGGCGTATACGGATCATGGGCATCCACAGTTAAATATATATATATATATATATATATATATATATACTTCATTTTTAGTCCATATAACACGCGGACTTTGAACATATAATCAACGACCTCACCAGCAAGGAATCGAACCCTCGACCTACTGGGTGTGACTAGGGAACGCTTACCGGCTAGGCAACAAGGACACTAAAAGCAGTTCTAGACTCTGTTATATTTCACACAAAGCCTGTTCATCGAGCTGATTGCGCCGTGAACCTCAATGGTAAACTGCCCGTGTCTCTTATGTGGTGTCAGTAGCATTTTACCGAATCCAGCTGGTATGAAACGCGAGGTACATATATATACTTCATTTTTAGTCCATATAACACGCGGACTTTTGAACATATAATCAACGACCTCACCAGCAAGGAATCGAACCCTCGACCTACTGGGTGTGACTAGGGAACGCTTACCGGCTAGACCACAAGGACACTAAAAGCAGTTCTAGACTCTGTTATATTTCACACAAAGCCTGTTCATCGAGCTGATGGCGCCGTGAACCTCAATGGGAAACTGCCCGTGCCTCTTATGTGGTGTCAGTAGCATTTTACCGAATCCAGCTGGTATGAAACGCGAGGTACATATATATACTTCATTTTTAGTCCATATAACACGCGGACTTTGAACATATAATCGATAGTAGTGAATGACTCGATTTTGGGATAGAACGCTACCGGTAAAATGCTACTGACACCACATAAGAGCACGGCAGTTTCCCATTGAGGTTCACGGCGCCATCAGCTCGATGAACAGGCTTGAAAAACAGAGTCTAGAACTGCTTTTAGTGTCCTTGTGGCTCAGCCGGTAAGCGTTCCTAGCACACCCAGAGGTCGAGGGTCCGATTCTGCTGGAGGTTGTTGATTATAGTTCAAAGTCCGTGTGTTATGGGACTAAAAAAGTATATATATGTACCTCGCGTTTCATACCAGCTGATTCGGTAAAATGCTACTGACACCACATAAGAGGCACGGGCAGTTTCCCATTGAGGTTCACGGCGCCATCAGCTCGATGAACAGGCTTTGTGTGAAATATAACAGTCTAGAACTGCTTTTAGTGTCCTTGTGGCCTAGTCCGTAAGCGTTCTAATTCACAATGGGTCGAGGTTCCGATTCCTTGCTGGTGGTCGTTGATTATATGTTCGTCAGGTGTTATATGGACTAAAATGAAGTAAATATATGTACCTCGTTCATACCAGCTGGATTCGGTAAATGCTACTGACACCACATAAGAGGCACGGGCAGTTTCCCATTGAGGTTCACGGCGCCATCAGCTCGATGAACAGGCTTTGTGTGAAATATAACAGAGTCTAGAACTGCTTTTAGTGTCCTCGTGGCCTAGCCGGTAAGCGTTCCCTAGTCACACCCAGTAGGTCGAGGGTTCGATTCCTTGCTGGTGAGGTCGTTGATTATATATATATATATATATATTTAACTGTGGATGCCCATGATCCATATACGCCCTGTATAAGGCTTAATGGCATCCTAGTTTATGATACTGTACTAAACGACGCCTTGAATAAAAACAGATCAAATTTATCATTATTTTTTGTGCACTAATAATATTTTACTCATGTCAGCCAATATTGTACTCATTTAAAACAGCATTTAGCAAGAGTATCAATAGAAACATTTTTGCTGACTACTTTTTGCAAGTTTATCTATTAAAGGAGTAGTTGAAAACGGAACTAGCACAACTAGCACGTCGTCGTTAGCTTTCAGGTGGCTCCTGGCCTTCGTCTTCATTCTTATTACTATTGTGGAATTTTTATATTTACCCTATACCATCGAATTCCTTACTCCCTAAGGGTAAATTTCAGCTAAGAACCGCTAACACCTGGATAATGTTCCGGAGCAATGATTTGCTAATTCAGTTCATGAATTAACGCCCAATCTTGCTGCTCTTGAAATCAAGGTGTCGTTTTTTGTTAATAATTTTTTATGTTAATTTCACGCATATTTGGCCCTAGGACCAACCAGTTTTGAACGCGAGACAAGCATTGTCGTAATTACCACTTAAAAAACTTTGTATATGAAGTAATATCGTGACTATTTTATTCAGTGGGCATCGTAGTAATTAACCAAATAGCTTTGTAAAATCATATATATATATTTATATTTATATACATCTATAGATTAACCATTTCCATTCTGTTTTGTATTGTGTACAGGTGACACCTTCCGATAACTTAGAAGGCCCTACAGTAGAGATTAAGCACCACTCTTATGATAATAAAAGAGAATTCTACATCGCTCACTTAAACAAGAAACTTGCAAAAGGCAAGAAGTATGTCCTCTCTATGGAGTTTAATGGCACCCTCAATGACCAACTTAAGGGCTTCTACAGATCTTCGTATAAGGACACAGATGGTTATGAGAAGTAGGTAAAATTAGTTATTAAATTCTGGGATCAATAAATATATTTTTTTTATTTATTTTTTTATAAATATGAACTATAAGAGAAGTTAATAACATAATTTCCATGTAATTTTTCTAGGAAAATTGCGACAACTCAGTTTCAGCCAACGGATGCTAGAAGGGCGTTCCCATGTTTCGACGAACCCGGACTGAAAGCAACGTTTGAAATTTTCCTAGCCAGAGAAACTTCAATGACATCTATTTCAAACATGCCAAAGTTTGAAACTATACCAGTGTAAGGAAAGAGAATAGTGATTTTGTCTTTACCTATTTTACATTATTCTAACACTGGTCATTCCTTGTAAAATATATTAACAGTTTTCCTCCACAGACACATTACAACAAAACTCTATTTTCAGCGAGGGCCAACCGGGATGGTTATGGGACCACTTCAACACCAGCGTGCCAATGTCCACTTACCTGGTCGCTTTTGTTGTCTCAGATTTTGATCACATGGAGTCAAATGCCAATGAACGTGTTCTTTTCCGAGGTAAGGATTTACTGAATTTGTTCTTCGAGATTATCTGGTTAAATTAAATTAATGGGCTATGCTAAATACCTTAATCATACTATTGCTAATGCTAAATTAGATAACATAAAAATATACTTAATTACATTGTGGTTCATTGAGACAACTGCTTCAATAACGACAAAAGCAACAAGAGCTAAATACCTTATACTGATTAAATTTGTCGAGTTCTGCATAGTATATTTTCTATTTATCAGTCTCAATGCCAGAGTTAGTTCTGGTTCCGTTCTAGCACCAAGTCATTTATGATTACTCATCAGCTGGGGAATCTGTCATTGCCGCTTTCGTGTTTGAGAGCAAAATATTAGTTTTTGGCCGTGACTACACTGTCATTTACACTACATCAATAATCATACTATCATCTACACTTCGCAAACTAGACAGTCAACGACATACATCCACTACACTATCATCGACTATACTCGTACATCAACTGCATTAGTATTTAATTTTAATCACTTCAACTGTACAATTATCAACACCACATCCACCACACTATCTTCTACAATGCACAAACTGCACTATCCTCTAAACTACATCAACTACACAATCATCTACATTAACTGAAGGTTCCAAGTGTTCCCTGAAGAAGGCAGTGATGGGTAGGGAAACACCGGGTAACACTGAAGTCCATTTATTAACGGAGAGGAGAGATACAAGTAGTGAGCAGCGTGCGTATGAAGTGCCATGCACGACCCACGGAGCCAGACTGAGGCTGCATTGCCATATGGCAGCCTCGGGGCAATGTTGCCACATAACACGTGCATTGTTGCCACGTAATTACATACATAGATGCTACTCGGCACAGTAGCTTATATACAAGGTTGCTACTCGGCACAATAGCTTAGATACATAACCTACATCTCCCTCCCGCCCTCACGCTCATAGTCTTTGTCTTGAGCGGACTTCTTAGTCCTAAGTCTCTCCGAGCGTCGAGGTGCACTGTGGGGCGGATCCTCGTGAGGTGTAGGGGACTCGTCCTCGGTCAGGGGGCCAGCAGCAGCCGGAGGAAGCGGCGGTTCCACCACCAGACGCGGCCGCTCGGCATCCTGACCTTGTAGTCCCGCGACCGGCCGACGCCCATCACTATGCCCACCTTGTCCCAACGTGTCGTCGTCGGGTCCTGGACGTGGACAAGGGCACCAATCTCCAGCAGCTGAAGAGGGCGGGCACGGTCGTCATACCGAGCCTTGGCGTCCTGGGCACGTGTAGCGGCGCGGCGGTCGCAGCTCTCAGCTCTGGTCTGCCACTCCTTCGCAAAGGCCTTGGCGTGTGCAGGAACGCAAGAGCGGAGAGGGTGACCACACAGGATCTGGGCAGGGGAGCGTCCTGTGTGGGTGGGAGTATTACGTAACTCCAGGAGTCCTTTGTCAAACGCCTCACAGTCTATGTTGCGTGAAGGGGCCACCTTGAGGATGAGGTGCGTGACTGTCTTGACCGCAGCCTCAGCGTGGCCGTTTGACTGTGGGTAGTGGGGTGTTGACACGATGTGGCGGACTCCCCAACGCTCCAGGATTCCTGTGAAGTCCCGGCTGGTGAACTGTGGCCCACCGTCCGTCCGCAGACGTACGGGGACGCCCAGGTCACGAAAGAGGTGCCGAAAGTGGCGAATGGTGGCCGCGGACGTCGTGTTCGAGCCACAGATTACCACCACAGGCCAGCCAGAGAGTCGGTCGGCGACAACTAGGAAATGTTTCCCAGCTGTGATGCAGAAATCAGCCGACACGGACTCGAAGGGCCTTGTGGGTTCGTCATCGCACAAGAGGGGCTCCTGCTGTTGACTGGGCACGGACCGTATTGATGATATCCGCGTCAATACCGGGCCAGTACACAGCCTGCCTTGCGCGGAGCTTGGTGGTTAAGAATGGGGACTAAGGGCCTGTGGTCTGTGATGAGGTCGAAGTGGTGTAGGCCAATCAAGTAAAACTTGCACTTCGATAAGGCCCATACCACTTTCAGCAGCGCCAGCTCGATGGTAGCATAGCGAGACTCAGCATCGGTGAGGAAGCGAGAGCCACACTGTACGAGCCGGTACTTTCCTCCACCGTGATCCTGGAGAAGGGCGTAACCAACCCCGTACAGGCGCGAGGCGTCTGTCTGGAGGACAGTGGGGAGCGCTGGGTCGAAAGTAGCGAGGATAGGTGGACTTGACAGGGCCTCCTTCACCTTATGAAAGGCAAGGTCGTGGTCAGGGGTCCACGTGAAAGTCCTCTTGGGGCTCATGAGGGGGCGGAGAAGCCCGGCAGCGGCGGAGACATCAGGAGAAAATTCTGCCAGCTGGTTCACCAGGCCCATGAAAGACCTGAGATCCATAAGGTTGGCAGGTTTGGCAAAGTCCGCTATGGCACGAACTTTCTCCGGGTCCGCAGCAATGCCATCCCTTGAGAGTCGGAAGCCGCAGAAAGACACTGCAGGTGCGGCAAAGACGAACTTCTCGGCATTCAGAGTGATGCCGTGCGTCCTACACCTGGTCAGTACTTCGTCGATGCGGCGAAGATGCGTCAGGTATTCCTCATCGTAGAGGAGGACGTCATCTACTACCTTCACGCAGTTGGTCACGCCTTGAAGTGCCATGTCACTACAGAGACAGAAGGCGTCCCCCGTAGCAGCAAATCCCATAGGGCCACGGCAGTAGCGGAAGCGTCCGTAAGGCGTAGTGAAAGTGGTCAGTGGCTGATCCTCCTTCTTCAGTGGGATCTGCCAGTAACCACAGAGGGCGTCCATTGTCGAAAAGTGCCGTACCTTCGGGTCCACATTCCGTATAGCTGTAAAAGGTGTGGGTGAAGGGTGGGCGGGACGGGACACCTGTCTGTTAAGCTTAGACAGGTCGGTAGTAATCCGCACTCCACCGTTTGTCTTAGCCACGGCGACTAAAGGGTGGCACCAAGGGGACGGGTCGTCACCAATGGGTACGATGACACCCTGGGCCAGTTCCTTCTTGACTGAATCCCTGAAGGCGATAGGGATCAACCGGGGAGTGTGTATGGTAAACGGCTGCGCATCTTCTCGCAGGTGTATCCTCATAGGTGGACCCGCCATAGCCTTCAGTTGCGCGGTCCGTAGGGCCTCCTTCGTCACCAGCACTTCCGAGTACTCCTTCAGGAAATAGGCCCTTGCGGCTGAAGGAGACGTCTCTCTGTGAAGAGGAAGCAGCCGTGACTTGGGTGGAGACGGGGTGGGAGTGGACGTGGGTTCTGGACAGCTCTGTGTGGCAGCACCAGGTGCGTCGCTCGTTGACTCACGCACCCTGCTGGCGGTGTACTGAGCAGCTGGGATCTGCTCAGGAAAGTCTCTGGGCTCCACGCCTAACTCCTTGCAGTGCTCCCACGACAACAAGGGTGTAGCGAGAGTAGGCTGCACGTCCATCCATCCGTGACACGACCTGTCGCCGCAGGTGGTCTCCGCTTGAAAGGAGCCCACAGCGTCTGGCATCTGGGAACCATCCGCATTGTAGTACAGCAGCTGCAGCGGTGGTCCCAGGTCGCATTTGGTGAGGCCCAGTTTCTGGAGGTGCTTCAGGCCTATCACCGTAGCATCAGCGCCGGTGTCCGGTATCACCTCGATGTGACCCGACACATCACCGTGTGTGACGGCGACGCGAATGGTAGGGGAAGGGGTAGCCCTGGGGCGTGTGGTCGATTCCACCCTCCTGATGTGACTCAGCTGCTGTTTGGGGCTGTGTGGGCCATCTGAAGGGGGCTGCGTGCGAACCACCCTGAGGGAAGTGCGCTGCTTTCCTCCTCGTCTCGGGCTTTTGGGCTTGGGTTGGCGGCAGCACTTGTCGTAGTGTCCATAGCGACTGCAGGCCTGACACTTGTGGCCTCGTGCCGGGCAACTGTCTGTGTTAGACCAGTGGCCCTTACGGTCACATCCACGACACAGTGCGTCGACGGCCGGGCATGTCTTGGGGCCATGCTGCTTTCCACAGCTGCCACAGGAAACACTAGGAGGAGGCGTGAAAGAACGTGTGGCAGCCTTCACGTTGTTGGCCGCCTTCTTACCCTTCTTGTACTGTGAGATAGCTCTCACAGCTGGTGGGGCCCGTAAGGCAGAGGTGGCGGACTTGGTGGCCTCGTATGACCAACATTCAGTCACTACCACCTGGAGTGTGGAGGAAGCGTCCAGGGGGATGAGTCGCTGCACCAACTCTTCTTGCTTGACACCTGTCAAGATCCTGTGCTTGATCCAGGCTTCCTCACATTCCTGGTTGTGCGCCTTGCAGACATCGATCTCCTCCGACAAACTCTTTAAATGTACAAAAAAGTCGTCAAAGGATTCATTCTCCGCCTGCTTGCAGCTGGTGAAGGCGCGGCGACGCAAAGCCTCGTTATTCCGTCCTTTAACATGCACCTGTAAAAGGTCGAGCACATCCGTCACTGAAGACGTAGAATCGGGAGGCACTTGCAATGTGTGCTCCAAAACTCTCTGGGTCTCCAGCGACAAACACATCCGCAGTTGGATGAGCTGTTTGTTTGGAGGCATGCTATCAAGGTCCACCATCGTGGAGTAATCTGTCCACCGCCGCCTCCACTCACGAAAAAGCTGAAACGTGACGTCTGGTGAGAGGGCGGGTGGGGTTGAACAGATGCCTTGGGAGCTGTTGGAGTAGCAAGAGTACCTGGAGGACGTTGGTGTGGTGGAGGAGGGAGGGTACTGGCGCCTTGGTGCGCGCTACCTGCGAGTGAGGGAGGGTGGTGTTAGCGCCAGGGTCGCCAATATTGCATCAAAACGCGCCTTTCCCTCCTCTCTTCGTATCTCCTCCCTCTGAAATTCCATCTCTCTGCATCTCTCGTCCCTGTCGTCCATCCACCTCAGAATTGTGGCAATGTCCATCACTGGAAGTGGAGGATGAGAGGCAGTGGGCGCAGAAGCTCCATCTGCGCCCGGTAGAGGGGAAGGTGGGGAGTCTGTCTCCCAGCTTGACGTTGTCCCTTCTTACCGCCCATCTTAGTATGCTTGAACTGCACTGTTTAGTATATAAAGTGGCGCCTCATCAGCTCGAACCACATATATATGACGTAAACATCGCAGAAATAACGCATAGGGTCCACTGTTCTGACCGTGAGTGCGTGCAAGCGTGTGTGTGTGTGTGTGTCTGAGAGAGCAGATCGTAGTGGCCTTAATGCTCTACCAGGTAGAGCGGCCGCGGAGGTAAGAACGTTAGTGTCTCCCTGGATGTCGCACGAGAAGGGTGTATGCCTGCGTGCTCCGTTGGTACCACAAAAATCAGGCCAATGCTCAACTCTCAGCTCTAGACACACTAATACACTGACACTAACACTGCCGCCGTCAATAAACGCACTGTGACAGCGCAACGCTGCACGTCGCTGCGAAACACAACGCAACACAACACAACACACTAGAGTCGATGCGCACATCACCGGCAGACGTAACCGTCGGCATTGTTCACGACACTTGTAAGTTCACAAATCCTACTCACTGCGCCATGAAGGTTCCAAGTGTTCCCTGAAGAAGGCAGTGATGGGTAGGGAAACACCGGGTAACACTGAAGTCCATTTATTAACGGAGAGGAGAGATACAAGTAGTGAGCAGCGTGCGTATGAAGTGCCATGCACGACCCACGGAGCCAGACTGAGGCTGCATTGCCATATGGCAGCCTCGGGGCAATGTTGCCACATAACACGTGCATTGTTGCCAAATAATTACATACATAGATGCTACTCGGCACAGTAGCTTATATACAAGGTTGCTACTCGGCACAGTAGCTTAGATACATAACCTACATTAACTACACAACAATCAACACTACATCAATCGCACTACCATTTACAGTACACTACATCAACTATAGTTCTATAGTAGTGCAAGATTTGTCTAGAATTTATTTAAAATCACTTACCGTATATGTCAATATTAACCCCTTTACGATAAACTTTATTAACGTTCATACAACTTGGTAAGTTTAGTTGCATATAAATGTTAAACAAAATTAAAAGTGAACAGTGTACAGCAGGGGTGGTCAATCTGTCGATCTCGATCGATTGGTCGATCGCAAGATCTTCTCTAGTCGATCGCATGGCAAAGTTAAACTTAGTGATCCATCCTTCTTAAGCTGCCATACAAAAATCCTCTTCAAATTTTACTCATAATCATTGGGCTATTATATTTGTTTAGATTTTTTCTGGGAATAGATTATCATTATGGACACATCAGAGCAATACATACAAAAAAAACTTCGACTGTGCCATGCTGTGTGTGGCGGAACCTGATAGGAAGTTTTCGCGTTCATGCGGGCCGGTGCTGGCTGGTTCCTGGTGAGGAAACTGATCAGCAAGTTGTCATCAGTTGTAGGCTAAAACTAGGCAGGTATTTGTTTTTATAAGTTTACAAATACAGGTTAAACCTTGTATTAATGAATTTGGTAATGAAAAAGTCGACTCGATATTGAGGAGTCTTGTCAAAAGTAAAGAGAGAGAGAATCATATTTGGCAATCTTGCCCAGCGAGCCTACACACTTGTCACTAACAATGCAGTGATTTTCAGTCATCTGCAATACTTGGAAGTGTGAGGTGCTGCCTCTTTTTATGGAAAAGTCTTGGGTGATTACAAGAGTTACTGACTTTTTAGCTTTGCGAAAGTTCTCGCCGCAACCCTAGAGTAGACAGAAGTGTCCACAGTAGCCTATAACAATTGCTTATCAAAAAAAAGTTAAGAACGTTACGCTGTTACGTTAATAATTCTCATATTCATGTAGGAAAAGTCATGGAAAAAAAGTAATTCTCGTATTCACGTACGACTTTTTCTTTTCCAAATATTGGTTATTGGCCATCAACTGAACCAAAAATGAGTTCTGGACCAAGTACTAAAAATACCCAAATTTACCATTTTCACAATGAATGGGAAGAAGACTATTTTTTACCATGAATAATTTGAAGTGTCTGTGCTTGATCTGCCATGCGTCTCCAGCTCTAGCTAAGAAAGAAAACCCTGAAAGGCATTTCAAAAGTTTTCACAAGAAGTATGATAATGATTTCCCACCCAAAAGTGAGCTATGAAAGAAGAAAGTTCATAAACTGAAATCACAGCTTACTGCACAACAAACTCTTTTTACAGAAGCGAACTCAAAATCAAGCAACCATTGCAACATTCAGGGTGAGTCGAGTACTTACAAAGCATAAAAAAAAACATTTCAAGTTAGAGAAATATTCAAAGGCCTATTTAGAAGCAGCATATTCGTTGTTTGAAAATTTCAAAAGTAAGTTTGAAATACTGTTTTCTATTAAGGATGTTCAGTTATCAAGAAACACTGTCATGAGGCGCTGTGAATTCATGGCTGAGGATTTGGGTGAACAACTGAATAAAGACATACGTGAGTGTGTGTTCTTTTCATTACAATTTGTTGAGTCTACTGATGTGGTCGATACATCACAATTATGTATTTTCATGAGAATGGTGTTTAAAGACATGAGTACCAAAGAGGAACTGCAGAAAATTCTACCATTAAAAGGAAAAACTCGGGATGAAGACTTATTTCAGACTTTTAGTGATTTTGTTAATACTACACAGTTGCCAGTAAGTAAGCTCGTATCTAAAAATACTGATGGGGCACCTGCATTGGCTGGCCGAGTAAGTGGGTTCATTGCCCTGTGCAGAAGTGATAATAGGTTTCCTAACTTCTTTTTTGGCCTCAAAAGAGAGCCTTTTGATCACAACGAAGTGTGGCTGTTAGATTTAGCCTTTTTTAGTTGACATGACTGCTATGCTGAATAAACTAAATTTAGATCTGCAAGGGAAAGATAAAACTATAGTTGACATGATTAGTCCTGTGGCTGCTTTCAAGCAGAAACTAAAACTAGTGTCTTCGCAGCTGCATCAACATCAACTACGAAACTTCAGAAATATGATGTCTGAACTAGAGTACCAAGGAAAAGACTGTGACCAGTTTGACAGTGGTACAAAACCTTGCCTCATATTCTGACAGCCGGTTTCAAGATATAACAACAATAGAACCTGATGCAACATATATGCGTTTTCCATTTGGTAAAATCACAAATGTTGAAGATATTGCATCTAGAATGGCATCAGTATTTAACATGGACGTATCTGAAGTGGAAAATGAGCTTCTGAAGCTTAAAAATGATATTCAGATCAAATCCAGGGCACCAGGAGGAAGTTTCTGGAACCTTCTCAGTGAAGAAAAATATCCCATGTCAGAAAATGTGCCATGTACCTCACAGCATGTTTTGGATCAACCTACCTTTGTGAATCAACATTTTCACACATGAAACACATCAAATCCAAATACCGATCAACAAGTGTCAGATGAACACCTCGATGCTTGCTTGAGGCTAGCAGTCACCGCCTACAGTCCTAATTACACAAAGCTGGCAGACAACATGCAGTGCCAACCATCTCATTTTTAAAGTAAGTTTATGATTTTGTCATGTAAACAATATATCATAATAATTATTGAAAAATATTATTTGTTTACTCTCTCTCTACGAATCTGCGTATTTTATGACAATGGGTAAATATTAGGCTGGTAGATCGCGTCAGGGTAACTGTGGAAAAAGTAGATCACATCACACAAAAGGTTGGCCACCCCTGGTGTACAGTATATAATACATGAAAATAAATTACAGTTTGTTTACTGACATGTGGCCATTATATCGCTTGTGTAGTATGATGCTGCATCCCGACGGATCCAGACAGAGCTATTATCACTTACAGAAAATTTGGCCAGTGGAAATTTATACAGGAATGACACGAAATGTTGGTGAACTTAATTGAAATGGCATTAAATTTAGGAATGACTTTAATTATCATGGATTATATATATATATATATATATATATATATATATATATATATATATATATATATATATATATATATATATATATATATATATATATATATATATATATATATTGAGATTTTTTTGCTTCAGTAAAGTCCCGTCCAGCTGCCATCAAACAGGCAACCTATGCCCTCAAGACAGGACCAACGGTTCTCACCTTCTTCGAGAAGTACTTCAACATTCCATTCCCTCTTCCTAAGCAAGATATGATTGCCATCCCTGATTTCTCAGCTGGTGCCATGGAGAACTGGGGACTCATTACATACAGGTCAGATTTACTTTGCTCTCATACTTGTGAAATTAATATGTTCTTGTCTTGTGAAGATAGGTGTGATAATAACCACCTGTGATAGATGGCAGTAGATGTTAGATCCTCCTGGTACAGTTGCGGAAATGTGTTTCTACGTCTCCTGGACTAACCCGTGTTTCCAAACAGCAAAGTCGCAGTCGTAGTTTCACTATTTTTAATTAATGGGTATTGGTCGTTTAACGACAGACGTGATTGGTTTGCTATACTGTAGGACTAGGTCATAATTATAAGATGGCTGTTTGGAGACGGGTTACGACAGGGGGTGTAGGAACACATTTCCGCAACTGTACCGCCATATACTAGACACTACAAAGTCTGTCAGTGGGACTTTAGTAATGGAACTATCGAAAATTACTTTATCAAAATGATCATTTATGTTCAGCCTAATATTTTTTGGGCTTTTTTTTAACACATTGGAGCTAATAGATGCTTGATAAAAGTGATAAATTGTATCCCTCACCGGTTTCCGCGGTGCTCTTTGCCTCTCAGGCCTCTTGTTGATTTGATTTCCTTTTAATGTATTGTCTTCTATTATTAGTTTGAACCCCTATTGCCATCTCAATTTACTTGTATTTTCTGTTCTTGATAATGTATTTTTATTTCCTCTCGGTCTTTTTTTTTATTGTCCTATAAGTTTAATTTCCAATTTTTAATTTAAATTATTTGTTTTGTTTTCTCGTCTTGCCTTTTTATGATTTCATACCATTTTATTTCCTCTTGTTACTTAGAATTTATCTTAGTGCATTAGACTTCATCGTGGTATTTCAGATATAATCAAATTTTTTCCAGCTTCCAGATCTGACTTTTCCATAGTATTTTCACCTCTTGAGAAATTATACTTTCAAAATTATTATTTTTTTTCTCGTGTGCCGAGAATAAAGCTCAGTAAACGGTGTTTAATACTTTATATGGCAAGAGTCTCTCTCAGCTGATTAAACTCGTCTGATGTTAGCCACAATAAAATACCAAAAGGCTACATTGCCCTCTGAAGGGTAAAAAACCCTGGACACCTTCCAGCATCAGACAACAACATCAATTCAATTTCAATTTCAATAGTTTATTCCTTGATAGAGAAACCAGGATCCTAGTTCTGTCACTAGGTACCCCAATACAATAATACCAGAAGCATCTGGCAAGTGTCACAAGTACATATAAAATTTAAAAAGGGCTTACTAAAGCTTTTTATAATTCGTCTAGGTATTTTAACTTCCTCGTGGTGTTCTGAATCTGTCTCAGTTTTGACATCTTTTAGTTGGTTTGACTTCCCCATTTTTAGTTTCCCCTTGGGTTTTCTTCTTGCTATTTTAGATTGATCTCAGTTGACTAGACGTAATTCCTCTTATAATTTTAATTTATACTGATGTTTCAATTCCCTCTTGTTTGTTTAACTTGCTCTCAATATGTTTACTGTTACTTTTTTCTGTTTTGATTTGATTTATTTTACATGTTTAAGCTTTTTTTTTTATTATTTTAACTACATTTAATTTGTTGTCTTTAGACTTACTATTGATACTCTTTTTATTTCCTTTTAATCTTCGGGCGTTTTGGCTGGTAGGTAGAGGCGCGGCAGGCTCACCCGGTCAGTTTATCAGTTACCCTTGAGATGCGGCAGGGAGAGGGTATGCTGACGTTGCTCCTCAAAAAAACGCCCTGAACAAGCCTTCCTCCTTGGGGAATCCTTTAGAAAAAGGGCACACTTAAGCATTACACACACAAGGCACTTATAACACTTCACAGGAACTTGCTCTCACTGACACTTCTGCAACTTGCTATAAATTCAAACCAAGTTCTTGGGGGATGAGTGGAGACTGGGGGAGGGGTCCATAAGCCGGTCTTGCCACAGACTTTACACACTTGCACTTTCACTGGTCCAGTCAATTAACTCACTGTGCCATGTACATGTTCTGGGTACTCAATTCTAATTACAGGAGCGAACACAAACACCTGTAGAGTTTTGTAGGTCCTACTTGCTGGAAGTACAGAGGTGCAACACAAGAGCAGGTACTCCCTACTCTCTCTATGGGTCAACTGACCTCTCAGGCGACATGTTGCAAGTGATACATTAGCAGCTTCCAGATGTCGCCAGGCACATTATCTAAGCGTGTGGTGACATGAAAAATACATTGCCACACGCTGCTAGCTAAATAAGTAATGTATATAAGTGGAGTACATACATAATATACATACAACATACATACTATACATACAGTTTTGTTCCTTTTATTACCTTTGAGTGTTTTGACCACCTTCTGTGTTTCGATTTATTCTTGCTGTCCTGGTTCTTTACACTTGTCTTGTGGCTATATAGGATTTCAATCCTCCTTTTTTTTTATTTTGGCGCAGACAGCAGCTAATTTATTGTGCACCCCATACTCATCCTCTGGGCAGTAGAGGCCCCAAAGGGTGTTTATCAGACCCCATTGGTAATGATATTATGGCATTAAGTGTTACATAGTATTACTAGTACATTGTTTGTTTAATCCAGTGTATAGAATTTTGATTAGGTACTAGATACAAAGTGTGAATGCACCATAGTGTATCAGCTATCTTGCCATCAGAGATAAAGTGCTGTGCCATTCGTTCACAGTGTACTTGGATCTATCCCTATAAGGTTCTATTTTTGTCAGTTTAAGACGTAGTGTTGGAGTGTATGGCCATATGTCTGGCCAGACACTATATTTATTTTTGTTCAAATATGCCCGGCGGTACAGGGGCATACTGCCAGAGGTACTTTTATCCTAACCTTAGTCTATCGTTTGAAACAACTTTTAATCTAGTGATTTTGATACTTGTTCCATATACTGTACATGTTTTACTTCATACATCTCATCATGGCAAACAATAAATTAATTAGTGCCTGTTTGCACTTGACAGTTCTATATTGTATTCAACATTATCATTGTTGCCTATGTTAGAAGAGATCCACAGCAGCTTGATCCTGATACCCGCGTCAACAAGACACATATGCTTGTGTCTGGCTTTACAGACAAGCGGGTGATAATATGAGTTTAGGGTGTCAAGAGCAAGTAGTGAGGATAAGGAGTCAGTGATGATGAGACGCTTCAGGGTTGTGAGTATGATAAATAGTTCAGTTAGTAGAGTGGCTGCCCAGTTATTAATTCCAGTTCCTTTCTCTTTTATATCGCTGTTAGGCTGAGTCAAAAGGACAGAACTTTCAGCCTTCCCAAAGACAGTGTTAAGAAAGCCGTCAGTGTAGATGGTCTGTGTGATGTTATTTTCAGTTTGTAGGTCATGTATGTGTTCAAGAGTTCTCACGCTAGCTTTGCAAAACCTTTGAGAGGATGGTTCTCGGTAGACTCTTATACAGAATCAGAGAACGCATATCCGCTAACATAATTGGCTTCACCCATGGTAAAGGAGTATACATAATTATATCGCAACATTCCTATCTGTGCATGGGGATGAAAGGCACAGATACTCCACATTTCTTGACCTAAGCGCTGCATTTGATATTGCCAATAGGTAACTTATATTGTACGAATTAGCCAAAAGGGATATATGGGGTCGCTTGTTACACTGGGTAAGTGGTACTTCACAAAGAGAAAGACTGCTGCACTCTTTCAGTGTTACAAAGGTGAAGTCAAAGATATGCAACTTGACACCCCGCAAGGTGGAGTACTTAGTTTCGCTTTGTTCAGTGTTCCTATGAATGTACTATTAGTCAATTCCAGACAGCCCCAGCAATATTACTGTTAGCTATGCAAATGACATTCTTATGTATACTAAGACTCATCGTTGAAATGTAAACCACCCTGAACCATGTACAGTCAGCCCGTGAGACCCTTGGTCTCATCATCTTCACTGAGAAAACTAAAGTAGTCAAGGAATAAGTTGGTAACCACAAACGCCCACCTTTATCCCCTGTACCTCCTCTGCCACGCAACAGCTAACCCCTTAAATGTGTAGCGGGGTACAACCCACACTATGGCGCTAACATCAGAAATATCAAAACAATGAACACTCTCCCCAAAAAGTATCGGCCTCTTTTCTCATCGATACAGTGTGTCACAATGGACGAATATTTCAGATCACTAATTGCAATTCTTGCATTATGTTGGTTGGCCTGCCTTCCAAGTATCTGTGATGTTGCCAGTTATTATTTCTGGCATTTGTTGTAATTGTGGTAAATCACCGTGCTCCATCTTTAGTAGCGAAAATATATCAATGGCAATCAAGTGGTGCGTGTTTTCTGCTGGAAATCTATGACCAACACTAGTACCGAGACTCATTGGAAAAAAAAGCCTTGCACTTACAGACATCGTCTCATAATGTGTTTATCACATTATGTTCGTTTGCCAGCACGAATCATGAGATGATACATTATATTCAAAAATGTTACCTCATCAGTTGAGGTAGAAATAATATCGAAACGCAGTAAATCATGTCATTGTAATTGGCATCATAATACACCTGCAATTACTATATTTGCAAATGAATGTAATATCGGACCATAGTGTTTCATATTTCGTTTCAAGGCGATTCCATTGTAACCTCGGTGCATAAATCAGCGGGGTTACTCATTACGTTATTGGTTTTGCATATGGTATCAAAATTCTCACTATTTTATTACATAGTGTAGAGAATATATGGTATACTGCAGATATCATGGTGATTATCAGGTGCAAGAAGAAAAGAACGAAAGGTGCAACTCACAATCAGAAATACCAACTGAGCCGAGACATAAGAGCAGAAGAATGGAAGAAACTGCTGTGGGCCTATTGCCTCATCATACTAGGCAGCCCCGTTTACACCCAACCCCTATCTCTCATATATCCGTCCAACCTTTGTTTGAAGCTACCTAGCGTGTTCGAGTTTCGATGAAGTTCGGTAACTCGTTCCGCTCATCCACTACTCTATTTCCAAACCAGTATTTACCTATCTCGCGCCTAAGTCTAAATTAGTCTATTTTATTACCATTGATACGAGTTCGCTCCTGG